CAAAGTGGCAGGGTGAGCTTTTGTGATCGCTTTTCGTCCGGCGTCCGTCCGTCCGGCGTCCGTCCGTCCGTAAACTTTTGCTTTAAATGACATCTCCTCATAAACCACTGAGCCAATTTCATCCAAACTTCACAGGAATGTTCCTTTGGTGGTCACCTTTAAAAATTGTTCAAAGAATTTAATTCCATGCAGAACTCTGGTTGCCATGGCAACCAAAAGAAAAAACTTTAAATATCTTCTTTTAAAAAACCATAAGAGCTAGAGCTTAGATATTTGGCATGAAACATCTTCTAGTGAGTGTCTACCAAGTTTGTTCAAATAAAAGCCCTGGGGTCAAAATTGGCATCGACCCAGGGGGTCATTGATTTTCCCTATATGCATATAGTAAAAACTTAAAAAATCTTCTTTTAAAGAACCCAAAGAGCTAGAGCTAAGATATTTAGCATGAAACATCTAGTGAGTGTCTACCAAGTTTGTTCAAATTAAAGCCCTGGGGTCAAAATTGGCCCCGCCCCGGGGGTCATCGATTTTCCCTATATGCATATAGTAAAAACTTAAAAAATCTTCTTTTAAAGAACTCAAAGAGCTAGAGCTAAAATATTTAGCATGAAACATGTTCTTATGGGTGTCTACCAAGTATGTTCAAATAAAAGCCCTGGGGTCAAAATTGACCCCGCTCCAGGGGGTCATAGATTTTCCCTATATGCATATAGTAAAAACTTAAAAAAAATTCTTTTAAAGAACCCAAAGAGCTAGAGCTAAGATATTAAGCATGAAACATCTTCTAGTGAGTGTCTACCAAGTTTGTTCATATTAAAACCCTGGGGTCAAAATTGGCCCCGCCCCGGGGGTCATTGATTTTCCCTATATGCATATGGTAAAAACTTAAAAAATCTTCTTTTAAAGAACCATAAGAGCTAGAGCTTAGATATTTGGCATGAAACATCTTCTAGTGAATGTCTACCAAGTTTGTTCAAATAAAAGCCCTGGGATCAAAATTGACCCTGCCCCAGGGGGTCATAGATTTTCCCTATATGCATATAGTAAAAACTTAAAAAATATTCTTTTAAAGAACCCAATGAGCTAGAGCTAAGATATTTAGCATCAAACATCTTCTAATGAATGTCTACCAAGTTTGTTCAAATAAAAGCTCTGGGGTCAAAATTGGCCCCGCCCCAGGGTGTCATTGATTTTCCCTATATGCATATAATAAAAACTTAAAAAATCTTCTTTTAAAGAACTCAAAGAGCTACAGCTAAGATATTTAGCATGAAACATGTTCTTATGGGTGTCTACCAAGTATGTTCAAATAAAAGCCCTGGGGTCAAAACTGGCCCCGCTCTGGGGGGGGATGGTCATTGATTTTCCTTATATGTGTATAGCAAAAACTTAAAAATCTTCTTTGGAAAAACCCAAATAGCTAGAGTTTAGATATTAAGCATGAAACATCTTTAAGTAAATATCTACAAAGTTTGTTAAAATAAACGCCCCGGGGTCAAAACGGCCCTGCCCCAGGGATGACATTGTTTTGAACAATATGTGTATAGTAAAAACTTTAAAAATCTTCTTTTAAAAATGCCAATGAGCTAGAACTTAGATGTTTAGCATGAAACATCTTCTTATGGGTGTCTACCAAGTTTGTTCAAATAAACAAATAAAAGCCCTTTGGTAAAAATTGGCCCGGGGGTGGGGGGCCTATATACAGGTGAGCGACCTCAGGGCCATCATGGCCCTCTTGTCTTATATAGAATATATAGTGAACAATTTCTTCTGTGCACAACTCCTCCTATATTTTTCTACGGATTTTGACCAAACATTTACAGAAGCTTTGTCATCAAGTGCCCTGGCACATATTGTCCGGGTTTTGCCATTGGATAATATTTGACCTAATTATGGCCCTTTGTTTTTTTTCCTTATATAGAATAAATAGTGAACAATTTCTTCTGTTCGCAACTCCTCCTACATTTCTCAACGGATTTTGATCAAACTTTTACAGAAGCTTTGTCATCAAGTGCCATGGCACTTATTGTCCGGGTTTTGCCATTGGATAATATTTGACTTAATTATGGCCCTTTGTTTTTTTCCTTATATAGAATTTATAGTGAACAATTTCCTCTGTGCACAACTCCTCCTACATTTCTCAATGGATTTTGACCAAACTTTCACAGAAGCTTTGTTATCAAGTGCCCTGGCACATATTGTCGGGGTTTTGTGATTGGATAATATTTGATGTAATTATGGCCCTTTGTTTTTTTCCTTATACAGAATATGTAGTGAACAAATTCTTCTGTGCTGAACTAGTCCTACATTTCTCAACAGATTTTGTTCAAACTTTCACAGAAGCTTTGTTATCAAGTGCCCTGGCGCATATTGTTAGGGTTTTGTGATTGGATAATATTTGACCTAATTATGCCCCTTTGTTTTTTTTCCTTATACAGAATTACCAATATATAGTGAACAAATTCTTCTGTGCTGAACTAGTCCTACATTTCTCAACAGATTTTGTTCAAACTTTCACAGAAGCTTTGTCATCATGTGCCCTGGCGCATATTGTAGAGGTTTTGTGATTGGATAATTTTTGACCTAATTATGGCACTTTGTTTTTTTTCCTTGCACAGAATACATTTTTTCCTTATACAGAATATACAGTAAACACTTCTTCTGTGGCAATTCCTCCTACATTATTCATGTTTTACATTGCACATAGTTACATTGTTTATTGCTTGCATTTCTATTACAAATACAACATATTTATCTACAATGGAGATAATTGAAAACCTGGTTTCGTGGCATTGCCATGTTTCTTGTTGGAGTTTTTTACACCGATTTCATTAATTAACAATTTGAAATTAAATTCTTGATTGGAATCGTGAATTTTTCATCATATTTTTGTGTAATTTTAGCATTCCTTAAATTGTGTTTAGACATTTTCCGGCCGTGCGAGATTTTCTCTCATTTCACAAATTTCACTGAGATTTAATTGATATTTTTGCGAGAAATCGCGGAAATCGCCCCCTAGAATGAATACTGTTTGTTTCCGGTTGGTATATCAGTACATGAATTACTGTTTGTTTCTGGTTGATATACCGGTACATGTATTACTGTTTGTTTCTGGTTGATATACCGGTACATGTATTACTGTTTGTTTCCGGTTGATATATCAGTACATGTATTACTGTTTGTTTTTCCGGTTGATATACTGGTACATGTATAACTGTTTTTCTGGTTTGATATACTGGTACATGTATAACTGTTTGTTTCTGGTTGATATACTGGTAATGTATAACTGTTTGGTTCTGGTTAATATTACTGGTACATTAGTACTGTTTGTTTCTGTTAATATACTGGTACATGTATAACTGTTTGTTTCGTGGTGATATACCGGTACATGAATTACTGTTTGTTTCCGGTTGATATATCAGTACATATATATTTACTGTTTGTTTCTGGTTGATATACTGGTACATGTATAACTGTTTGTTTTCTGGTTGATATAGCTGGTACATGTATAACTGTTTGTGTTTCTGGTTAATATACTGGTACATGTAGTACTGTTTGTTTCTGGTTAATATACTGGTACATGTATAACTGTTTGTTTCTGGTTGATATACCGGTACATGTATTACTGTTTGTTTCTGTTGATATACTGTACATGTATTACTGTTTGTTTCCCGGTTGATATAATCAGTACATATATTACTGTTTGTTGTTTCTGGTTGATATACTGGTACTATGTATAACTGTTTGTTTCCGGTGTGATATACTGGACAATGTTATAACTGTTTGTTTCTGGGTTGATTATACTGGTACAATGTATAACTGTTTTGTTTCTGGTTGAATACTACTGGTACATGTATAACTGTTTGGTTCTTGGTTTAATATACTGTACATGTAGTACTGTTTTGTTTCTGGTTAATATACTGTACATGTTATAAACTGTTTGTTTCCTGGTTGATATACGGTTACATGAATTACTGTTTGTTTCCGGTTTGATATATCAGTACATATATTACTGTTTGTTTCTGGTTGAATATACTGGTACATGTATAACTGTTTTTTGTTTCTGGTTGAAATATACTGGTACTACGGTACATGTATAACTGTTTGTTTCTGGTTAATATACTGGTACAATGTATTACTGTTTGTTTCTGGTTAATATACTGGTACATGTATATAACTGTTTGTTTCTGGTTGATATACCGGTACATGTATTACTGTTTGTTTCTGGTTGATATACTGGTACATGTATTACTGTTTGTTTCCGGTTGATATACTCAGTACATATATTAACTGTTTGTTCTTCTGGTTGATATACTGGTACATGTATATAATGGTTATATACTGGTACATGTATAACTGTTGTTTCTGGTTGATATATACATTGGTACATGTATAACTGTTTGTTTCTGTTGATATACTGGTACATGTATAACTGTTTGTCTTCTGGTTTGTACATGAATTACTGTTTGTTTTGGTGATATACTGGTACATGATTACTGTTTGTTTCTGTTAATATACTGGTACATGTATAACTGTTTGTTCTGGTTAATATACCGGTACATGAATTACTGTTTGTTTCTGGTTGATATACTGGTACATGTATTACTGTTTGTTTTTGGTTGATATACTGGTACATGTATTACTGTTTGTATCTGGTTGATATACTGGTACATATGTTATTGTTTGTTTTCGGTTGATATACCGGTACATGTATTACTGTTTGTTTCTGGTTGATAAACCGGGACATGTATTACTGTTTGTTTCTGGTTGATAAACCGGGACATGTGTGACTGTTTAAACCTGTACATGTATTTTTCTATTTTACTGTAATCAACTGATATCGAAGTTTGTCTCGTAGAAATATTATACTGTATCATTTGGAAGCTGTATGTTATAAAACGGACTGAATATAACAAATACATGTATCACTTTATACAATAAACATTTTTGAAAATTTAATAAATAAAACACAATTGTTTGTATTATATTTTATGTTGTAGGAGATGAAAAAACTCAAGGTAGAAGATTCTCCTCAACAAAAACAATTACAATATGAAAAGGCGAAATCAGGTATGTTATATATAATATGAAGGGGTAAATTCATGTTTGTTATATAGAATGTGAAAAGGTTAAATGAGGTATGTTATATATAATATGAAGGGGTAAATTCAGGTTTGTTATATATAATATGAAAAGGCTAAATTAGGTATATTATATATAATATAAAAGGGTAAATTCAGGTTGTTATATAGAATATGAAAAGGTTAAATTAGGTATGTTATATATAATATGAAGGGGTAAATTCAGGTTTGTTATATAAAATATGAAGAGGCTAAATTAGGTATTTATATATAATATGAAGGGGTAAATTCAGGTTTGTTATATAGAATATGAAAAAAGTTAAATTAGGTATGTTATATATAATATGAAGGGGTAAATTCAGGTTTGTTATATAGAATGTGAAAAGGTTAAATGAGGTATGTTATATATAATATGAAGGGGTAAATTCAGGTTTGTTATATATAATATGAAAAGGCTAAATCAGGTATATTATATATAATATAAAGGGGTAAATTCAGGTTTGTTATATAGAATATGAAAAGGTTAAATTAGGTATGTTATATATAATATGAAGGGGTAAATTCAGGTTTGTTATATAAAATATGAAAAGGCTAAATTAGGTATGTTATATATAATATGAAGGGGTAAATTTAGGTTTGTTATATAGAATTTGAAAAAGCTAAATCAGGTTAGTTATATAGGATTTGAAAAGGCTAAATCAGGTATGTTATATAGAATATGAAAAGGTTAAATTAGGTATGTTATATATAATATGAAGGGGTAAATTCAGGTTTGTTATATAGAATTTGAAAAAGCTAAATCAGGTATGTTATATAGGATTTGAAAAGGCTAAATCAGGTATGTTATATAGAATATGAAAAGGTTAAATTAGGTATGTTATATATAATATGAAGGGGTAAATTCAGGTTTGTTATATAGAATATGAAAAAGTTAAATTAGGTATGTTATATACAATATGAAGGGGTAAATTCAGGTATGTTATATATAATATGAAGGGGTAAATTCAGGTTTGTTATAAATAATATGAAAAGGCTAAATTAGGTATGTTATATATAATATGAAGGGGTAAATTCAGGTTTGTTATATAAAATATGAAAAGGCTAAACTAGGTATGTTATATATAATATGAAGGGGTAAATTCAGGTTTGTTTTATAGAATATAAAAAGGCCAAACCAGGTATGTTATATAGGATTTGAAAAGGTTAAATTAGGTATGTTATATATAATATGAAGGGGTAAATTCAGGTTTGTTATATAGAATATGAAAAGGTTAAATTAGGTATGTTATGTATAATATGAAGGAGTAAATTCAGGTATGTTATATATAATATGAAGGGGTAAATTCAGGTTTGTAATATATAATATGAAAAGGCTAAATTAGGTATGTTATATATAATATGAAGGGGTAAATTCAGGTTTGTTTTATAGAATATGAAAAGGCCAAACCAGGTATGTTATATAGGATTTGAAAAGGTTAAATTAGGTATGTTATATATAATATGAAGGGGTAAATTCAGGTATGTTATATATATGAAGGGGTAAATTCAGGTTTGTTATAAATAATATGAAAAGGCTAAATTAGGTATGTTATATATAATATGAAGGGGTAAATTCAGGTTTGTTTTATAGAATATGAAAAGGCCAAACCAGGTATGTTATATAGGATTTGAAAAGGTTAAATTAGGTATGTTATATATAATATGAAGGGGTAAATTCAGGTTTGTTATATAGAATATGAAAAGGTTAAATTAGGTATGTTATGTATAATATGAAGGGGTAAATTCAGGTTTGTTATATAGAATGTGAAAAGGCTAAATTAGGTATGTTATGTATAATATGAAGGAGTAAATTCAGGTATGTTATATATAATATGAAGGGGTAAATTCAGGTTTGTTATATAGAATATGAAAAGGTTAAATTAGGTATGTTATGTATAATATGAAGGAGTAAATTCAGGTATGTTATATATAATATGAAGGGGTAAATTCAGGTTTGTAATATATAATATGAAAAGGCTAAATTAGGTATGTTATATATAATATGAAGGGGTAAATTCAGGTTTGTTTTATAGAATATGAAAAGGCCAAACCAGGTTTGTTATATAGGATTTGAAAAGGTTAAATTAGGTATGTTATATGTAATATGAAGGGGTAAATTCAGGTTTGTTATATAGAATATGAAAAGGCACTATCAGGTATGTTATATACAATATGAAAAGGCTAAAACAGTAATGTCATATAGATAATGAAAAGGCATTTTGTTAAAAACAATACAGTCTTCGAAAAAGTGCAGTCCCGAGGCCCGAGGCCACTTAATTTGGCACCGGTCAGATTATTGCCAGGTTGGTGGTCTGACGGGCTAGTAGATTTTTGGCCACGAAAAAGTACCATAAGAAAAATTCATCTAAATAATGTGGCAGGCTTCTCAAAAAGATCAATCTTTTTGCCTTTTTGCAAAATAAAACCCACCAATTTCAGTCCTCAATGTACAAAACACAGCGAGGGAAGTCTAAATTGTATTTAGTAATGGAGGCCCCCATTTTTGTCTTTGATGTTTTTGTACCGCACCATACAGTTATGGAAATTAAGCCATTGGTTATCATGCTCATTATTTAGCTATGATTTTGTGATAATTGAGTTAGTAGTAATATAATTTATATGAAAGTCATTTGTTTGAACATATATTACGATTTCACCATTATACTTGCAGTGTATTAAATAAATTGTTTACAAATAATAGTAAGAGACAAAAACATTTATGACCTAGTAGACTTATATAATTATGTAAGAATTACTTTTATCAAAACCTGTTATGTTTTTATCACCTTTATAGTAAATATGCATTTTCGTAATTCTAGATATCTTTCATAGAATCAAAAAATATCTAAGCTTTTATTTTGTTTTGCTCACAATAACAATAACATATATTTTTGTATTTCATTTTTACTTTAACAAAACTTACTACAAAATCATAATTTCAATATCAGAGAACTCTCTAGTTTGTGAGGGAATCTTGTAATGTTAAGATAATTTGTGAGTTTTGCTTTCAATAAATTTCAGGTTGTCGTACTCAATTGATAGAACATTATCGCAGTGACATACTTAAAGTATCAGCAATACCTTTACAACCAGATGAGGAAAATTATTACTTCAGTGACATTTATATAAGACCCACTATAACAAACAAGATAGAAAAGAACAGAGGGAGTCTGAGGAAAAAGAAATAGAGTCCATGTCAGAGATTTTCACAAAGAGTGGGATCCACAGAAATTTATTTATGTTGTTGGAGATGCAGGTCTGGTAAGAGTAGTTTCTGTAAATATTTGATCAACTGTTTGGTGTATGGCACACAGTGATGGACACAATGCAGATGATGAGTTTGAAGGAGTCAAGGAAATGAAGAAATTTGATTTCATGTTTTATATTTCTCTTAGACATAACATAAAGACCCGAAGTATCCAAGAAATGCTTGAAATGCGATATGATAAGATAAAAAATTTAAGTAAACTTCTGGAAAATGATTCTGAAAAGATAATTATTTTGCTTGATGGTTTAGATGAATGGTCTTTTGACAGTGAGACTAGGAATGAGTTCCAGGCAGGCCTTCCTGAACGTGACTTCACAAAGAAATACACAATTGTTACTACATCACGGCCATGGAAAATTCACAGTTTGAGAGTAAGTAATAGAGAGATTCATCAATTATTAAAATTAAAAGGGTTTGATGAAACACATGAAAAAGAAATGATTAGGAAAACAATAACAGCATTGAACGAATCATTAGATCCTAATGTGTGTGAACAAGATCTTGAGATACCGTCTGTGGTTGGCCTGAAACAGGTACCAATTATGCTGCAGCAATTGATTTGTCTATGGTGTGATGGTAAACTTGATAAAACATCAAGGTGTGCTATTTATACTGGTATGTTAGAACTTTATTTCACCTGGAATATCAATAAAACTTCAGGAAAGAATACAGAATGTATGGAAAGTTCTAAGAATGTTGAACTCCCTCAGTATTTAACAGATGTAGAGATATGTAGATTAAATAGTCATCTTATATATTGTGTGTCACGCTTGGCTTATGAGACATTGTTCAATTATCCAAAGGATAAGTCCTTAACATTTGACAAATCTGTGTTTGATGATTTGAAAATATCACAAGAAGTTCGAGAAACATGTCTGAAACTGGGAATTTTGACAGAAGATAAATGTCCTTCTTTATCTGTATCTAAACCTAAAAGCTCATTGTTCTCTTTTATTCACAAATCAATGCAAGAATTTCTGGCTGCAGTGAATATTGGTATCAATTTCAATACAAAAATTGGTTCATCAGATAGTACAATAATTGTTGAATTAGTCAAAAAGTTTATTAATGAGGTTTTTCAGAAATGTTCAACAGTTAATGACATATTAGAGCAGTCAAATGTTATCATTATGCTATCTGGTCTAAAACCTAGATTAGCAACACATGTTTCAAAATACATATATGATACTGTGTCAGAAGACTCTCGTGTTCAGGAATACAGGAGAATAATAAATAGTAACATTTATAGAGATCATCGTTTTATTACTGATATTCAAAAGCTTATGTTTGAGTCAATGGAAGAATTAAATGCAGCATGTAGTGTAGGAAATAATCCTGTATTTTATATAGGAGATTTGGTCATTGATGAAAGTCAGTATTGTGATATTGTCTGTCTAAGTGTTGATCAGAAACAAATTGTTCCTGAATCTGTTCTGTCTATTAAGGTAGATTACATCAACACAAAAACTGTTAAATTAAAAAAATATTTACCAATGTTTCATCATCTTGAAAAAATTGCAATATCATATGGGTTTGAACCACAAAGTTTATCAAGTACACAAAGTGGTAGTACACAGAGTAATGAACAGATGATTGATGAGAGGAACAATTGTGTTTCTGAGACAATTAAAGTAAATACTTCAACATTAAAATCTCTGTCTCTTAATAATGTCTCTAACACTGGCAAGTATTACCCAGTGTGTAAAACAGTTGTTAGTTACCTACCTAGTATGATCAATCTTGTAGCAATAAGTATGCATCTTATAACAATGAGTCATGATTATACTACTACATTTTGTAATTTTCTTGAGAGAACCAGTCATCTTGAACAAATATATCTTTATGGTGTTGAATGTGAGTGTAAGAAGCAGCATGATGTTAATTTATCAAAACATCAACAACTTAAGTACCTTTATTTGAAATATACTATTAGTGTGATAGATGCTGATACTACAAACCTTGAAACATTTAGATTTAATAAATTGAAAAATAGTAATTATGAGAAAATATTTGATATTATTAGAAAATCTTACAAATTAAAAGAACTTGAATTGTATGGAGATTATTACAATAAATCTCAATTTTATCATACCAACATAACAAAGAGACTTGTCACAGTATTACCATTGTTACACAATCTCAGTAAGCTTGAGTTAGAGTGGTGTAGGTTAACTGACAGTATAATACAGTTACCTTTAGAGATGAAGAGTTTAAAAAACATTGAGCTTAAGTATGTCATAATGAGTTTGACAACATGGCAGAAGTTGGTTGATAGTCTTCCTCACATTCCTCAAACTGTAGATGTGAATGTATATGACTGTTATTTAACAGGAGATGGTGAGAAGTTTAATGTTGATATGTTAACATTGTTATCACAAAGACTTAGAGGAGGGAAGAGATATAATGCTAAACAGTATGTAAAAGATAAGGATCAGTTATTTCATGTTAAACGTGATTATGATAGTAGGTTTTATTTTTCAACAAAAAAGTGATGTAGAATACATGTAGTTAATATTGTGGTAAAAGTAAATTTTTGCATATTCAAAGACATTAATTTGGATTTTTTTTCATTTTCACTTCAAAAAAATGATTTGAAATTAAAATAGTTAGAGGATACATAATTTTCAACAAAAAAGGGATAAAGTATCCATGTAGTTATGTAGTATTTTAACTTAATGTTTTGTTGTTGTTGTTTTTTGTTTTGTTTTTCATTTTCAACCAAAAATAACTGGTTTGAATTTTTAACATATTGATATAGGATACGTACAGTGTTTAAACTAAATTTCATGTTAAAAGACACGATCAATTTGTTTTTTTATTTTCATCAAAAAAGTGATACTAATGACAAGTACTTTTCTTATTGTTGTAAAGCAAGAGGATAAATATAATACATTATGATAACAATCATCAAAACAGTTAAAGCAAGAGGATAAATATAATACATTATGATAACAATCATCAAAGCAGTTAAAGCAAGAGGATAAATATAATACATTATGATAACAATCATCAAAACAGTTAAAGCAAGAGGATAAATATAATACATTATGATAACAATCATCAAAACAGTTAAAGCAAGAGGATAAATATAATACATTATGATAACAATCATCAAAACAGTTAAAGCAAGAGGATAAATATAATACATTATGATAACAATCATCAAAGCAGTTAAAGCAAGAGAATAAATATAATACATTATGATAACAATCATCAAAACAGTTAAAGCAAGAGGATAAATATAATACATTATGATAACAATCATCAAAACAGTTAAAGCAAGAGGATAAATATAATACATTATGATAACAATCATCAAAACAGTTAAAGCAAGAGGATAAATATAATACATTATGATAACAATCATCAAAACAGTTAAAGCAAGAGGATAAATATAATACATTATGATAACACTCATCAAAACAGTTAAAGCAAGAGGATAAATATAATACATTATGATAACACTCATCAAAAACAGTTAAAGCAAGAGGATAAATATAATACATTATGATAACAATCATCAAAACAGTTAAAGCAAGAGGATAAATATAATACATTATGATAACAATCATCAAAACAGTTAAAGCAAGAGGATAGATATAATACATTATGATAACAATCATCAAAACAGTTAAAGCAAGAGGATAAATATAAAACATTATGATAACAATCATCAAAACAGTTAAAGCAAGAGGATAAATATAATACATTATGATAACAATCATCAAAACAGTTAAAGCAAGAGGATAAATATAATACATTATGATAACAATCATCAAAACAGTTAAAGCAAGAGGATAAATATAATACATTATGATAACAATCATCAAAACAGTTTAAAGCAAGAGGATAAATATAATACATTATGATAACAATCATCAAAACAGTTAAAGCAAGAGGATAAATATAATACATTATGATAACAATCATCAAAACTGTTAAAGCAAGAGGATAAATATAATACATTATGATAACAATCATCAAAACAGTTAAAGCAAGAGGATAAATATAATACATTATGATAACAATCATCAAAACAGTTAAAGCAAGAGGATAAATATAATACATTATGATAACAATCATCAAAACAGTTAAAGCAAGAGGATAAATATAATACATTATGATAACAATCATCAAAACAGTTAAAGCAAGAGGATAAATATAATACATTATGATAACAATCATCAAAACAGTTAAAGCAAGAGGATAAATATAATACATTATGATAACAATCATCAAAACAGTTAAATTAAATTTTGATCTCTGGTCACACAATGCATTATTAAATTTTACAATATTGAAATTGAAGAAAGTAATATTCAAATTGTGTTGATAAATAAATAAATAAATAAAAATGCAGTGAAATGTATTAGATATATTGATCTTAATAAGGGTAAAGGTTATTTTGTAAAGATCATTGATACTTTTTGAAAACAATAAGAGATTTGAAAAATGTAATGTTCTAATTATGAATACATAAATAGATATGTATATAAACAATTAAATAAATTAATGAATAAGTAAATTTAATGTAAATATCATACCACAAATGTTTAATGTACAAGGTAAGAAGAAGTAAAAAGTTAATATAACATTCAAATACCAGTTATGGTATATGTAACTACCGGTTATATGATCAATATGTCAAGAAAATGGTATATATCAATACCAGTTATATGATAAATAGCACAAGGGAATGGTATAAACAAATAAATATGTTATATAGGACAAAGGAATGGTACAAAGGTATAGAATGTAGGATAAGAGAATGGTATATATAAATACCAGTTATATGATATACAGGAGAAGTGAATGGTATATATCAATTAATACTATATGAGGACCATTTACATGTTATGTTTTAGAGATTCCTTCTTTGATTGTTTTATATTGTAAAGATTGTAAAAATTTACAAATTGTAATTATGTAAAACCATAAATGTGTACAAGTT